TAAAAAACAATCGCTTACCACTCAATTGGATTACAAATTATGCGATTTAATTGGAAAATTGTTTGTTACATTTATCAATCAAGTAGAAAGAGCCAATGTGAGCGGTGTTTCATAAGCAGGAACTCAACGGCGTGAACATTAATCGCACCAGCATGGTCGACCGCTTCGACCACTCTTGCACTTTTGGTAGAAAAGTTTTCATTTTGTTTGTTTTGTTGTTTGCGTTCGTTTTGCTATTCTCTTGCAATTTAAACGATTGATTTCACACTAAAGAGATGCTTCATTTATTTATTTCTATTACCTTTTTTTCTACTCCTTTCTTTCTTATCGCTGAGCACGCATGTGCTATGCGAGATATATGAGCATCTGGTGAAAATAAGGTGTGCGTGCGATTACACGTGATCGCACACATAATTTCTTCTGATTTGAATTGCAGCAATTTCTTTTCCCTTTCATAGAAACTAACAACGCCATACGTGCACACATTTATGAGCCACATTTTATATTCACTTTCGAACGGTAAATCGAGTGAGAGATAGAGAGAGAGAGAAAGAAAGAGAAAGAAAAAAGTTTTTCCGTTTATACATTTTACAATTGCTTTACTTTTAGTAAACGATTCGATGGTGATCACATCTGTCAATCACTGAACAAGTTGGGAAAAATCGTAGTCGAGCGCGATTTTTTTGCTCGTATTCTGTGATCCGATTGTGAATTTCGAAATTAAAATGAAGAAAATGAATGCGATTAAAATAAACCGAAACGCTCGTGCAAAATTTTCCTGTTCGATTTCTAGCCAAGAAAATAGAAATGCAATTTCTAATTCGGGCAAAAATGAACAATATGCTTTTAAAGGAAAAACAGAAGAGAAAAACAAACAAATGAGAAAAACACGCTTAGCATAATCGAGCGACGTGATATTAAGCAAATTCAATGGTGAAACGGAGGCCCGATTGAGAATCATAAATTTCACTAGATAATACTCTATATGAAATGGGCGCGTGCGCACGGAAAAAAAGGTGCTTGTACTCTAACAGTTAGAAATGCAGCTGATAGATTCCGTGCGTAAGCACACACACACACGGCTGATGATGATCACGAGGGCCAATTAACATTGATACAGAATGAGAGAAAATTTTCTAGAGAAAAAGCGATGAGTACGGCAAAATATGCAGAAAACAACAGAGTGCACCAAGAGGCAGCCGTAGTATCATATGCAGGCGAACGAATATATGAATGAATGAACGAAATAAAAAATCATGGCAGTTTTCCAATTTCGTATGCATTTCATCTCACTACAGACGACCTCTCGCTCGCTCATTTGCTCGTTCTCACATCAATCTGTATTGATGTGCAATCAGCTAGCCAATATTTTCACATGAACACAAACGAAACATGAAATTTTCTAAAAGAAAATGCATTTGATGCAGAAGAAAAAGATGTTGGAAAAAAAAGCATAAGCACACACAGACACACACACACACACCACGGCGCGCCGAAACAAAAAAATTTCTAATTTCTAAACGTCTTTTCTAAATTTCTACTCTATGTGAGTAATCCGAAGTGTGTGCGCAATGCACAAGACATGGAATTTAATATGTGTATCTATTTGAGACCATTTGATGGGCTCGCTACATGGGATGCAGCATGAAAGTCTATTCGGCATTGGCTGCTGTTTCTACTGCTACTGTTGCTTGCCTGGCTCCGGCTATTATTATTGTTTTTTGCAGTACTTCTACTCGAAAATGATAAGTATGTATGAGAGATAGTCATTTAAATAACGATTGCCTTTGAAATGTAACATTTAAACGAAGCATCGCGTAAATCTTTTTCTATATCGTGTAGAAGTGTACACAAACGTGCTCTGCCACGCTTGCACACCATCAACCAAATCTGATCGGTGAGATGTTCGCAGGAAAAGTAAAAAAAAAATCACCAGAGAAAAGAAAAACACGCACATACTCACACTAACACTCACTCGCTCGCTCACAGCAGCAAAACAAAACCGATCTTAAATTAGAGAAATTTCCTGCTAGCACAAAAAGTGGGTCAGAGCGCAACGTTCTCAAACAACAATATTTGCTTTCTTTCCAATTGTTTACGATATTCATAAGAAAGTGTATGCGATCACGATGCGTTTGGTGTTTTTCTTTTCTGTGTGGTGTGTTGTTGTTGTTTTTTTTCGTTTTACTTCTTATGTGGTTGTCGCTCTTACCTTTTCGCCCATTTTTATGAGCCCCCCGTTCTTGCCCGCTCGCGCCGTAATCACTGCTTTTTTCTGCATTGATTCTAATAACGCTTGCAAGCGGCCGAAAACAAATCATGAAGAATTTCGTGTCTCTCATGGTGAAAACACCATAAATTACTTCTCGATTCTTCCATTGCAAACGAACTCGTTCGAATGAGTGCTTGTGAGCGCGCGAGCGAGCGCACACGCTTGCTCATATGAATGGCATTTGATCATGAACTTGATTAAATGCGCTGTTTTCTAGAATTTGTGAAAATCCTGCCGCCTTACCTCTCCGTTTTCATTTCGCCGCTCGAATGCACGCGAGAGCAAAACACACGTTGATTTCTATTTTCAAGTGAATTTTAGAAAGTTCCGGCACATAAGAACTGATCGATCTTTTTAACCATCGTCACCGTGACGCCACAAATATGTGTTATTCCATTGAATGTTGTTTTTGTTTTCCTTTCTTCTCATCTCAGTTTTGGTCTATTTGATTTCGAGAAAATTCCTAGAATAATGTTGGTTTATTGTTCGATTCGGCTTTTTCTAATTATCGACTATTAAGAATTCCGTTCAAGCCGAAAAAGGTTCATTGAGCATTTTGAACTGGTGGTTGGTTTTCTTGGAAACACTTCTTTTTTTTATTGAACAGTCCATAAAACATGAATGAAACTCGCTTTGAAATGATGAAAAGGACATGCAAAATACCGCTGATTGAATCGAGAGATAATTTGTTAGGAACCTTTTGGTTTTATGATTATTTCACCTGGCGTTGACGGTTTTCTATAAATCCAATTTTTTTTTCTTTTCATTTCGTTGTTATCTGTAACGTAACCCAAGAGAATGTGAATTTTTCCGGGAAATCATTCAATAAAATTCATTTCAAGGGTAAGGCGCAACAAATTGAAAAGAAGAAATCATTTTTTTTTCTGTTTGTTCAAAGGGAACAATCGAATTTGGTGTACGATGTTCTTTACAGGAGGGCAAAAAAGGGAACTAACTTGTGGGAAGAAATACATTCTGAAGTATTGGATGAAGAAAAAAGATGATTGTTCGTAGGACAACGAACGGAGAGAGCCGCCAACGAAAGGCAATGAACTCTTTATTGCCTGCTTTTCTAGTTAAAAGAGCGAGAGAGACGAAGAAGCATTTTTCTACCTTTGACTAGCATATTTTCAATTCCAAGACATCTTCATTAGTCATTCGCACCGTTGAGCGTCTACACAGACGCACAAAATGTCCAAACCAATCACGACAAATGAATCAAAGCAAAGAAAATGAATAAAATAAGAACGACAGAATCGACCGACAAAATGAACAAAAATCGAACAGCAATAACAAACGAAAAGACGCACATTTTCATGTTGCCATTCACACTTTGTACTTTTGATTTCATTCTTCGGTATTTTCACTTCTGTGTCCTCTTCGCATGGTCTGTTCTTTTTTTCCCATTCTGCTTTGTGTATCGAGTATGTGTGTGTGTGTGTGTGCTGCTTTTTTATGACTATTTGCGCGCAATATTCTATTTGATTGCATTGGGTTTGCGTTGTTCGCTTACAACGTGTCTTTTCCATCATTGCACACATCGATCGCAATCAGGGCTTAATTTTTCCCATCCGCTCGATAGAGCCTCAATCGATTGTACCGAAAGAGTTTTTCAAAAGAAAATCTTTCAAAAGAATCTTTGCAAATATTTTCAATATTCTGCTAGAAATTACGGCTGTAAAATATATTCAAATGATTGGTTTTGATTTATATTTTAATACTATTAAGAAAAAAACTAAAAAAATTGATGTTTTAAATTTTATTAAAATAATTGATATCGTTTGATCCATATTTTGACAATCGTCGTACAATGATTTGTGACATTTCACCATACACTGCAACTTCATGCCATACTTGACATTTATACGATTGTCAAAATGATCGTTTTAATGAAATCAATAATTTCATTAAAATTCAATACAAATCAATTTTTTAACTTTTTTTTCTTCATAGTATTAAAATATAAATCAAAACCAATCATTTGAATATAATTTACAGCCGTAATATGTAGGAGAATATTGAAAATTTTCGCAAAGATTCTTTTGAAAGAGTTCCTTTTGAAAAACTCTTCCGATTCAATCGATGGAGGCTCTATCGAGCGGATGGGAAAATTTAAACCTTGATCGCAATGAACTTAGCATCTGCTCCAATGGCGCACCGATACAATCATCACTTTTTCTTCGGTTCAATATTTTTTTTTTCTCTTTCCAAAAAAGAAAAAGTGTACATTTCAGTGTTGTTTTATGGCGGTTCAATGCTTTTGTTTATTGGTAGTTGTAATTTTTTCTTTTCGTTCGGTTTCGTTTCTATCGAAATTCCATTGATTTCGCCTGTTGATCATCGTCTCTGTGTTTTTCCTTTGAGTCAACCATTTAAGGCGACACACACACACAGCACTTCGGCTCTTGAATTATTCTCTCGGATTATTTTTCTGTTCCTTTTCGCTTCATTTTCCCCATTTCGATCTCGTTGTTGAAGGAATTTTTTCTTAGAATACATCAGGAATTATAAATATTTGTGCTGTGCTGTGCTGTGCTGTGCATTTGTTCCATTGAGCATGTGTGCATGTGGCTCTCGTGGTGTGTATAGTCTTTTCGTCGTTGTTGTACGACAACGTTATTGTTCGGCCCCGGTGATATAGAAACACTTTTTTTTTTCGAAATGATCGCAGGCGAAAAGAAACATTCATAAACCAATGTACAGTATATTTCAAAATTAATTGAGAAGCGAATGAAAAGAAAATAACCGAAAACGGCAATGAAAAAAAAAGCACACACACACCCTGCGACTGAGTGTGTGAGCGAGAGAGAGAGAGAGAGAGAGAGAGAAGAAGCCGCGCATATGAAATGAAAATAAAAACAAGGAAAAAGAGCTAACGACGAAGTGTATGTGTGTGTGCATTTGACTGTTGAAATCAATTTGTTAGCAAAGCAGTCATGATAGAAGCATACACATATGTACATTGACATTGAACTTGAATATTTTTACATTGTTTTTATTATTTTGACTTCGTTTGCGGTATTCGTAATGTTTATTATTGTTATGTATTTGCCATTTGGCGCCCATGTTATATTCCTTATGTTTCAACAGCAGCAGTAGCAGCAGAGTGTGCGCGCGCACGTCGTATAAGAGCAACGCGAGATATCATTCGTTCTTTTCGCTTTGCTTTCCTATGTATATTATACAGATTTTTTTTCCCTCTCATTTCATATCACACATTGAGATTATTGACCGTCGCTTTGAGCTTATGCATTTGAGTCTGAATGAATGGATCGTGTTCGAGTGAGCGGCGAATCTAAGCGATTCTAAAGTAAATCAGAGAGATAAAAATACGAAAGAAAAAAAAACAATCGCAAATTTGGCATTGACCAATGTTCAGCAGTCTGTGTGAATCATTTACCTCAACGAACGTCGCGGATGAAATGAAAAATAAAACAACGTTTACTTTCAATGCTGAATGTAAATATTTGCTCTGGTCTTTGATCATGTGGAACATTTCAATTCATACAAAATGTTTCACAGTTTATCGACAGAATACAGACTTTGCTTGCACATATCAGTCACTGAGTCACTAAGTCGAATTTATATCGCTTACAAACAGACCGGATCTGAAGCAAAAAAAAAAACAGAAACAGAAACAATATTTTTTCTTTCGGTGATTCCAGCATAAAGTCCCATCAAAAGAAAAAAAATTCCATGTGTTTCCATTGAGACAACACTAACTGGACTGATCATATTTTTCGTGTTTTCGACTTAGACTTTGATTGCGTCAATCAAACGGCGTGCGAAGTTGTAAGACAAAAACGCAACGAACTGCATGTGGAATGCAAATGTTCCGTCGGCTAAACGGCAAACGCAACAGGTTTGCACACAGCATGAAACGGCACCACGTTGCGGAAGACTTGACGATGATCCGATCCGATGGGACACGACTTGCATACGCACGATGATGATTCCGTCACGATCATTGCCGATGGCAAACGGTGGTCGCTTTCGCAAATGACGACGCAAGCATATCAACATGTGCTTCTGCTCAGAATATTGCTCTTGGCACACTGAGAAGTGATCAATGAATTTACTACACAGCCATTAAGTTGTAACGGGCATGCGATCAATGCGCTCTCACTTGAGCCTCTGTCATGTCGCTGTGTGGCCGCATCGCGGAAAAAATTCAACAATGAAATGCATCAAACCACCGTGCGTCAACATGTAAACAAATGCCGAGAGAGTGCCGAATGCCTCAATGTGTTTTTAGGTAGTTAACTCTTGCGCCCACAATCGGCACCGCATTTTTCAAGATATTCTATTCCGTACGCGCGTGTTACGTTACGTATAGTAAAATGCAAAGTTGCTCGATTTCTAGAGTATCACTGGTGTGTGTGAGTGTGTTTTTTTCGTCTTCTTCGGTGTGCTTGATTGTGTGTGCTGCCAGCGATATCGATAGACAACCGTGCGCGCAACCTCAAAACGTTCGCAACGAAACGCAACCAAACAGCCTCGACGATCGCATATGTATGATATGGCCGAATCGTATGCATATACTCGTCGTATTCTGCGTATGGCGCATATATAAATATAAAACGCGAAACTTTCACCGAATTTAAGCTAGAACCAAGCACATTATCAAAGGTAAAACATCGATTCGAATCGAAGCAGGCGAGCGCAGCAGAGATACGAACAGAAAAACTTACACACTCCGAGCATATACTCACAATTCAGTTCGATTGAGCGAGCGAAATCAGCCTAAAGTCTCTTTTCGTTGCGAACAAAATCAAACAGATTTCTGTGCGCTAAGTCAGTTGTGTGAAGTGAACACACTGGAACGAACGTGTGACTACGCAGCTCCAAGTTTTTTTTTCTCTTTATTTTTAAATATCGACAGTTTGTTAATTTTTTTCTTGGCCCGATGAAATTTTTCTTGGCCCCGCATTCAGTGTGTACGCAACCAGAGCAAATTCAATCGAATTTTTCGACGAAAATTAATTTAACAACCACAAATTCTAAAAAACCAAAAGCCCAAAACAATTTTAGCAGTTTTAATTGAAATCGGTTTAAAAGCTAATCCAAATTTTAGAAAATCTCGTTAAAATCAAAATTTGTGATAAAACGATACAAACAGCTAACAAATCAAAAATACCTAATTAATTCTGCATAAGATCGATAACATTTTGAAGAGATAATTTTTTTCGCTTTTCCACATAAAATTTCGTTAAATCTTTAAAAAAAAAGACAAGTGAGTGAACTTTTTTGTGAATAAAGAACTAGAAACTTCAGATAACTCCAAAATTAACGCAGAAAAAAAAATTCCGAATTTTTTTTTTTTCGTTCGAGGACATTTCGAAAACCGATCTCTTGTAATAAATCTTCATTTTTTTTCGTGAAGTCTAAAGAAGCAAAAATTGAAAAGTTCAAGTTTACCAGATGAACTGATTGTCAAGTTGATAAATTATAACAAGAGACAGCTCCGTCAGAGAAATCGCAGTGTGTTGAACAGAGAAAAAAGCAAATCATCAGCAAGACATTTTAATTGATTTTTCGTGTACGAACGATGTTATAAAAAAATTGTGCAGCCGGCCCATTTATTCCACGTTCTTCTGATCCTGAATTGAATTGACGACGTCGTTGAAAAAGAAATCGCTACCGAACAACCGTGTACTGCAAATTAATTAAACGATCAGAGCGCCAAAGTAAAACAAATCGTATTGATTAGCAATAACATTGATTGATAAACTTTTGGACTACGAACTGAAACAGGCCAAATGAAATAAAACTTGGCATGTATTTTTGTTTTTGAAAGCGCAACAAATTTTTTTATTTTTTTTTCTGGTTTTACATAAAGAAAACTGTGATATCAATGGCTAACACAAAAGATTATTCAGACTGTGAGACATTTCAATAAACAACATAACGAAGAAGAAAAAAACCCAAAAACGACGCGAGAGAAAATAGAGACATTGCTGCATATAGGAGAGACATACATAGCGAGAGTAGCAAATTAGTCAAGAGAAATTTGCACCATTTCCGATTAACATAAAAATTGATGGGTTTCATCTTCGGTCGTCACACATCATTCAACACATGAAATATTTAACTGTCAAACGTTTTTTTTATTTCTTTATTCGTCAGTTGTGAAATCAATTCGAACACATTTGCTAAAAACGCGTAACCAAAACCATTCGGCAGCCCGTTAAAAGTCAAATATCGTCGCTGTTATACTATTTCCTTTTTCGCTATTGTTCGAGTTGAGTGTGTGAATTGACAGTTTAAAATGTCCGACTCCGGTACGCTTCGTCCAACAGTGAATCGTGTTGTTCGCGAACTAGTGAAGCAAGTGGGCATTTTCAAACCGAAATTAGACGTTGCGTTTGCATCGAAGAACGGCGACAGCTATTCAGGCGAAGTGTATCGCATCATTTTGCGACCCGACGAAAAGGAGCTCGAAGATCATGCCAATAATAATGTCGAGTAAGTGTAAAATATCCATTTTTTTTAGTCAATCTTCTGATCCTAGAACCAATGTGAACCATTCGAAATAGTTGATTTGTTTTGGAATTGACAGTCTCATGCAATGCAAATTACCTACTGATCTTTGTTCAACATTTTTTCTTCTCTGTGAAAGATTAGAAAACCCACAATTGACGACTTCTTTTGTTTTGAAAAAGTTTAAACTTGAGAGATCCCAAATAGAAAAAGCACACAACAAACACGCATTACCGATTTTGCCATTTTTCTTCGCCTTGCTCTAGGTGTACATTTATTTTGTTTATCGGCCTGAAAATATTAGTTTGATCACATGTTGTGAACCGGAAAAAAAGGATTGATAGGGGCTCGATTGCGTGTGTCATGGATTATATGACGATAGCCGTTTCTTTCACTCCCTCTCTCTCTCTCTCTCTCTCTCCCTCTCTCCCTCTCTCGATCACCGCAACATTTTCCGTTATAAATAATTTGAAGATAAATTGCTACCAAATTGTGCGCAGATTGATTTGATCAGCCCGTAATGTAGAGCCATACACAATTCATGAATCATGAGTGCAATAAAACCTTTCCGAAATCGATCATTCAGTGGCCACATGATTTTCTGGAGAAAATCAAATTACCAGCGCAAAGTTTGATTATCATATAAATTTTGTGGTAGAAAATGCCAAATTCATCGGACTTTGCGAAAGTTTCACGCAGAAGAAGAACACAAAAGTGACACTTCAAAGAAATTCATTGTAAAAGGTAGTTAGTGCACCAAGAATAAGAACACAGTCAATTGCTTTTAAATTTTGGTGAGTTTCTTCTTCTTCTTTTTCTCCGTGTTTTATTTTTATGTTGTTTGGCAATTGCCAATTCTGGTTTTTCTTACTGGGTCAGCCGAAAAAAACTGAAACACTTAAGGAGAAGCCATCGTGTACACACGAATAGCAGCAGAGCCAACAAACAAAAAATAGCGTAGAATGAACAAGAGCAGATCATGTTCTTCAGAAGAGACAGAAGAGATCGTCGTCGTCGTCGTCGTCGTCGTCTGTTTTGCGGTTTTATTGTACGTTGCACAAATTTTGTGGCGTAAATATTTTTTCCTCTGCATTCGTCGGTGATTCCGTTCGAAATGACTTTGGGTATTTTTCGCTGGATTCTGTTTTTTTTCTCTTCGCGCATTATTCCTCTGGCTCCGTCGTCAGAAGCAACATTTTTTGCTCATGTTATGTTTATTTTTATGCTTTCTTTGGTTCCTGTTCGCATATTTAAAAATAAAAAACACATTATTTAAAGGCATATGGCATTCTTGGTGTCTCGTTCCAAAAATGACTTTGAAAGAAGAACAACAAAACACATACAAACAAACGTCGAAATGAGGAACCGATTTTTTCATGCTTCTCCGTTTTAAGTTTCCATGCACCGCATGAAAAATCCAACGGAAAAGAAGACTACCAAGAGGACGGGATCGACGACAATCAGAAGAGAGAGAGAGAGAGAGAGAGAGAGAGAGAGAGAGAAATGCTGTTGAATTTTTCGCAGATGGGCAATTTTTATTTTGGTTGATATTGTTTTAATCCGTTACACAAGCAACGTGTGGCAATTCAGTACATTTTTGGTTGTCTTGATGACAATCATTATGACAGGGAGAGAGGGATGCGAGAAATTGTAACTGATTTTGACACCCATTTTTTTCTGCCCATTCACTCGCTTGCTCTCCTTCGCATCACAAAAAGAAAGCCGAAACCAATCCATGCATCGATCGTGAATCTGGTGCGATGTATTTATACATTAATTAAATAGACAAGTACATATCATGTCGAAAGAAAAAATGAAAAAAATTCAACCGTTTTGCATGTCCTGAGTTCATTGGGCAATGGCCCACAGATTTGCCACTTTCCGTAAGCATTTTCCCCGAAATTTCGCCGTATAACTCGTTGGTCGCAAATCGACCAAAGCACGACAGTTATACGCATAATACGTAATCGCTTAGTTGAGTTTAGAGCGAACACCACGAGCGAGAGAAAAAAGAAAAAATGAACGGAGCTTTAAGAGCGACGGCAACGGTTATTTCGTCAGCGAGTAACAACAATGAAAGCATAAATCAAAGCATCTAAATTGAATTGATTGAACAATAAGCACGGCAGCAACTTAATTATATTCGGTGCTGTGGTCATTTTTTTCCTCTCTCTCTCTCTCTGTTTCTCTGCCCCTTTCTACTTTTTCATTTCATTCTGCCGAAAAGAAACAGAAAGAAGAAAAAAAAATGTCGACGAATTGGCTGTGAAAAGTGAGCGAAATTTGCTCTCGACTTGGCTACAGAAAACAAATGGTTTAACGCAATAGATACGTCAGTGTAAGGATTTCTTTTCTGCAAAATGTGAACTCTTTCTTCATTGGAATGGGTCTTTCTTCACATACGCATTATTTATGTTTGATTGCTTTTTTTTAAATATTTTTTCGTGTGTTTTGTTTTTCTTTCTTATATTTTTTTTTAAAGTCGCATAATTTTTTTCTCCTTCATTTGCGTTGTTGCGAGCCAGTTTCTTTTTATTTCGTTTCTTTTTCCATTTGCATGTAGCCGATTTTGACTGTACACCTCATTCCATTTGGAAAGTAATGATTTTTGGAGTCTTTTTTTCCGGATAGTTTATATAACGTCATTTTATTTATTCGTCTTCGGTTCGTGAATTGTTCATCTTTTTCATCTGCGCTGTGTATATTATTTCTCTCGTTCGAAGTGGGTTAAATAGAGACAGAGACAGAGCAAAGCAAGGGAGAGAAAGAGACTCTTTACTCGGGCAATCATTTCTCGGCATAGTGTTGTTATTTGTGTGCGAAATTCAGACGTTATCACGAAACATCTATATAAGAGATATGCTTTATGGTTTTTTATTGGCGATTAAAGCGCTTACGAGAAATTGGCCAGTTTTCAATTTTGACAGTTTCGAAATGCACGAAATTGCGTATGGGACACACACACACAGATACATACTCACACATTAACCAGATTTCTTTTGCACTCTGTCCTTTCCATGCGCACGTTTTGTGGCTTTCAGAGCGACATTGATGCAATCAGCCTCGTTTCCCAATTTTAGCCTACAAATTTAATGATTTCAATCAAATTGTCCATTTGCAATACAAGTGATAGATAGAAGAAAAAAAAACACGAAAAAAAACTGGAACGGAATTAGTCGTCTGTCGAAGAGATAATTTGGTTTGAAGTCAATAAAGAAAATTGCATAACGCAAATTGATTCTACAAGACACAAGAACACGCCTTTCCTCAATTGATAATGAACCCCACACTCAGACACATTTGACGTGGATCTTTTGTTATGGATAATTGTGTCGTCAATTTCAGCGAACTAAAATAGAATTTGACGGATATTTGCCAACACAGATCGTCAATTGACCAAATTCTGTCATTCGAATCACGTCCTATTGCTAATCGGAATATTGTCACAAACAAATCCAACGTGCGAATTATGCGGAGATAGAGGAAAATCAAATGTGCTGACTTTTGTCTCGTAAATATCGTGCACATGGGATATTTATAAATATCCAGCTAATTATCGATCGCAGCGTTTTGTTTTAATACTCACAGTAATCTCTTGGCAAATACTTTGCACTCAATTCGATTTTTGTTGTATGTTTAATGTTATTGTTGTTGGGTTAAATTCTTTTTTGCTCTCTCATAAAACAATTTTTTTTTTCGTTCAAAAGAAAAACGCAACAACAATCCAAATTAAACAAAGCAATAAATTTTGCTAAACAAGCATCACAATAAAATATGCATTAAGCGTACAAATACCAGGTCGAGTACGGAATAATTACACAACTGATTTATTTTCCAAGCAAGTCGTTGAACTGTCGTCGTCGTCGTCGACGCGATGAAAAGAAACGGTCGAAAAATGCCAAACAAATTTGAGCTACTGACAAATATGCACATCAAACGAAAACACCATCGTCATTGTCGTTGTCGTGGTCCCCGCGAATCAAAACGGACCGATATCAATTGCATGCTGTGTGCTCGACTCATCGATATCAATTTGCTGTGTGTTTGGTGAGCGTGTACTACCAAGTCGTGCGCGCGAGCACACATACACATGCTCGTTGTGTGGTAATAATTATGGAATGGAAACAATATCGTTTATTGCATTTAATTTGCATGCAAGTGTAAAAGTGTCCGAAAACATCAAATGTGCACGCCGATGCAAATTCACACCAAACATACAAACGATCGCTTAACGTAAACAATTCACCAACACCATCATCGTCACCCCTCGCGAAGCATGCTCGCTGCCACTGTGCAAAATGACAATGCGACTGCAGTAGCTGACGGCCGCCGCTTTTTCTCCTTCTCTGTTGGTTTTTTTCGTCTTCTTTCTTTTTCTCTCTCGCTCGTGCGCTCACTGTTCCATGTTCGCTTGTTATTTCGTTAGCGCGAGCTACTCTTTGTTTATTTTGGTTCCATCCAGTTATGTTACGTTGGCCGTTTTGAAACCAGAAAAACACAATTTTCGCCAATGAACATGAACACAGTCAATAACCTCACTCAATACGAGAGACAATGTGCAACGTACGACACATTTACTAGCCAAAAGCGAATTTGACATTTTCAATGTGTACTCGTTTCGACATGTAAACAAAAAACATGCTGAATTCCGTCTATTTCTTCATATATACACATTAATTTTGTTCGTCTGTTTTGTTGCTACGGTAAAATGTGTAAGAATTTGAAATGAATCCAAAAACATACAAGATATAACAATCATTGTGTGTGTTTGTGTTTTTTGGGAATGTTGAAAGCTCAGGGCCACATTTGATATAGAGTTGATGCGTTTTTTTTATTGACTTTTGGACACACACACACACACACACACACACGAAATAAAAAAAATTTCAACAACATTCATTGGAATTATTGTCACGTACGAAATGTGTTCGGCCCACAACTCATTTTTGCATATCGAGTAAAACAAAATGAAACGAGAAGACAGA